CGGCGCCATCTCATTGGGACAGACATAGCCCAATCTTCCAATGGTAATGGCTACAGTTGGAAGTCGGTAGTGGTAAGGATAAGATCAAAACAATATATCAAAAAATCCGGAGAAATAAATCAAGCAGAGTTTTTCTCGAATAAAGTGATTAAATAAACTAGAAAAGACAATACATAATTTTGACACCATAATCATAGATTTACATCCTACTTTAAGGGAAAAATACGATCAGATGCTAAGAACGGTAGAGCGAGCTGTTTAACTAACCAGTGTTTTCGTGAAGTGTTTTTGGAGTATTTTGACGACTGATAATATCTATTAAAGGCTGAGCAAATAGGCTCGCATACGGTTGCATTTCTGGACCTATAAAAATAATTAAAATAGGCTAGATTTAGGTTTAAATCCAAGACTACTGCTTTTGTAAAGAACAAGAGTAAAAATTCAGGCTAAATATTATCGCACTCTGAGTTTATAATATCAATTATTGCGTATCCAGGTTAAGACATGAAATAAGAAAACTGACCCATTTGCATGCAAATTTCCCCTATGGCCCATATCGCGTTATTGCATACCGAGATATGGTCTGAGCTAAGATTGCTAGCCAGCACAGACATGAAATCTGCCACCTGAGGCTTTATATGCACGAAGCAAGCTTTAGTGAGATCACCAAGAAGGGCGAAACTGCTTTGTCTAACATCAGGTTGCGGATCCTGAGCGCACTCGTAAAGTAGTTTGATAATGTTGTTGCTGGCTACGAGAGGCTCTATATGAGCCCCCAACCCTTCTGTAATACCACTCAATAAATCCAGAGAAATTACCATGAAATCTTTATCGGGTGGATCAAATAAATTGGGCATCTGAGCATGGGCCTAATCAAGAAGGAAAAAAATTAGAATATATATCAAATTAAGATTGTATGATGCAAATTAAACTTACGCGGCCCTGATTTATAGTTTGTTCTACCAGATTCACACATCTATTGAATACAGGTGCACAATACGGCAAAAACCCAATCCCTAAGGCTGAAGCTAAGCTTGATAAGCATTCAAGAAGTGGAAACAGATCTTTATCATCATCACTAAGAGAGTGCCATTTGTGAAAAAGAGGAGGGAGAACGAGTTCAACAAATTCAGGCTGATTGAGATGATGACCAACAGCATCAGCTAGGGTTCCAATAGCATCATAGAGAATGAAAAGGTTTTTGCGCTGATAGAGTTTGAGAGCATCGACAAGCGTCTTCAAAATAATTCCCAGATAAGGGACTAGATCTGTACAAGCCTCTTCCTCTAAGGTGGCAAATGAGGAACACGCTGCCTCTTGTACACGCTTGTTAGAATCTAATATGCGCTTGAGAAGCTGAGAAGAATAAATTTAAATGAAACATACTTCTATCATTAAGGGCTTGAGATATTGCTCGTGTTGTTGGCCCACAATCCAATGTACATACCTACTCAATGCCCAGCAAGTGATGCTTCTGACCAAGGGCTTTTCATCACTAAGACATTCAATTAAGAATGGGCAAAGTTCTGGGAGATATGGTATCATGCCTTTCATACATCCTTCGGCTATAGCCCCCAACACAAGAATACCGGATTCTTTCACTTCCCACTGGTCAGAAAATAATGTTTCTTTGGTAATTGGCAACAAAACAGGCAAAATTTCATTCTGAAATACCCCCGCTAGTACGTCTAATGCAGCAGCAGAACATTTTCGTAGTGTCCAGTTGGACATATAGTCATCATCCTCCTCTTCATCTCGTGACTATATTTTATAGATAAAGAAAAAAAAATTACATCGCCTCCCGAAAACTTATTTTTCTGCTTATGGAAGCTTGGTCGTATGTCCGTATCTTTGTCTGGGACGTGTGCATCATCTTTCAGATCTTTCTACAGGAGTGAAAAAAATATATTTACCCGTAGGAGCGCCATGTCACTTTCCGAGTATTTCATGCCGCTTACAAGAATAGGTATTAATCGTTCCATGTAAGGGCCAAGAACTTGATAGCATATAGGTTGATCAGACAATGATAGCCAAAATTCACATGCTTCGCGAGCAATGTCTTCGCATGCATCTTGCGTCCTTAATAGCATGAACTTAAGGGATTTAGTTAAGCTTAACTGTTACCTCAACAACGTTAGGAAGATGTGGTATGAGTCTGTCGATTCTAACTTCCACCATGAGAACCAAAGCAGAGCATACATTGCGTCTGACATCTTTGTCAACATCTTCTGCAAGGGCGAATAATCCTTGTAAGAATTCATCAACATGATCAGCCAGATCATGAGATCGATGATTAATAAGCTGGTTCATACACGCAAGAGCGTGAGACCTAGAAATGAGAAAAAAAAA